ATGATGATGATGATGATGATGATGATGATGATGATGATGATGATGATGATGATAGAGAACCTTTTAACCTGTTCTCGTTTTCAGCCAGGAATCCAATTCAATTAAAAAAAATCTAGGGGCTGGCGGGTCAGCTCAGTTATCTAAAGCACTTTCTTGAGCAAAATCAGTCAGTGGCAAGGACTGCAGTTCAATCTGAGCACCACACCTGCCCTTAAGGCAGCCTGAGCCAGCCCCACCCCCACCAAAAAAAAAAAACTGTTCCTGCTACATTTTCATTTCTAACATTTCCTCCATGAAATGGGGCACAGATATGGAGATTAACTTCACTTGCTTCAATGTTGGGCCAACAGACATTTATGCTCTTTTTACGTCATCTTGTGCATTCTCTCCACAGGTATAGCCTTAGCCCTTGAGCACCTTCACTGCAGTGGGACTGACTGCTGACTGGCAATGTTCACACCTGCATTGTTCAATATGGCACTTGCTCTCACAGGTCACTAGCTTATCAGAAGAACAGAGTTTTGTCTTCATTGATTTAACAGATGCCAAGTGGATACTGGCTACCACAGTGGACAACCCTCCCCAGGTGGAGCCTGTCATCATCACTGCAGATACTGAGCTAACGCTGCAGTCTACTTTCATTCCACCACATGGATTCATCTCTCCTAGTCTGTCCATCATATTCTACTGTAGAAAAGAAAATAACACTGTATCAGTTAAAAATCAATAATGAAGAAATTGATTTCAGAGAATAGAGGTCACAGGGTAGGAATCTCATTAAAGTTGGCAAATCCAGGTTGACTCAAGATAGATAAATCCCCCCAATCTATGAAATTAAACAATTATATCTTTAAATTTGTCTCAGCCATAGTGCACAGCAGAATGTTCAGTACACAAAACTACTGGAATGTTTGCTGAATGAGTAAGTACTAGGCCACAACCTATTCCCCAGAATTTGAACACTGCCAGACTCACACTTTAAGTCTCTACTGTCACAATGACATTAATTTAATGTATGGGTTTAGATGTCAAGGCCTCTACTTCCTATCTCTCAACCTTAAAAAAGACTTGAGTCTTAAATTCAAAGAATATTCTAAACTCCTAAACACTGCTGAAAACCTTAAACTTATGCTAATAGGGTTACTAGCATTTTTTATGTTTACTGTGTTAGGAAATAGACTGAAAGACTTAAAAACACAGTACTTCACAATCACATATCTACTGGCTGCCAAAGCAAAGCCAACATCACCTGTCATGCAGCCACATGAGTGTACCTTTTTTTTTCCAATGAGTGTACCTTATTGTACACTCATCAAGGAAACAGGATGCAAAGAAGGCCAACAACATGATAGGGTTATTTAGAATACGGTTGAAGCCCCAGACATTCTGGAAAGGTCTCAAGCTCCCTTAGGAACCTACAGGTTCTGAGGTTCCCCATCCTTGAGGAACAAGAAGGTTCACTGCAGTCTACTGCAAAGGAAAGCAGCACTCAGACAGGAGAACCTGATCATTAAAGTAGCAGGTACTGCTGTCCATGCACATAAAAAACACAAGCCATTAATTTAAACTGCATCTAAACTCAGAGAAAAAATAATTCTAACCATATTAGGAAATAGTATGTTACCTTTGAGTTTTAACATTCTTCTTTGTCATGATTGGTCTTGGCTTCAATAGATACAAAACATATCTCAAGATTTTTTAATGTTTTGGGGATGGGATGTTAAACACAGCCAGCAATTAAACTCTAAGTTAGACTTTATAAAGTAAAAGTAATAAATTGCCTAATATAATCTGCTGTATTATAGGCACCCAACACATGCCTATACATCTGTTTCTTTATTAACTTTCCAAACCAAATTTAAGTCCTCCAAAAAGATTACTAAAAACAAGAGATAGTCTACTACAAAGAATTCTAGTAACAGTTCATTACAATGAAAGGTCATGAGTTTAGAAATGAAATGGAAACACACAGCCAGGAGAGATTAAATTTGAGATTATGTGGCTGACTGGATTGTTAATTAGGTCAATTATCTAATAGATCATAGAACTGTTTCTTGGCTAACATAATTTGTTTACTAGAGCAACCAAAGTAGCTGTATAGCAAGATAAGTGGTCAGAGAGTTTCAGGAGCTGTTTCGATGAGTCACACATTTTTTTTTTCAAAATGTTAAGATTTTATTTACAAAGCTTTTTTGTTGTACAGAAAGTAAAAATACAGTTACAATCTCAATGTAACTGGTAGCCATAGATGGTTGACTCATTAATCACAGCTATCCATGCAACAGCAAGTCTTACACAAAAACCTAACAATGCTTACAATTTTGCTGGGGCAAAGTACTCAAGCTTAGTGGTGGATTACCAAGAAGAACTAAATGGAGGAAGGTGGAATGTCACAGGAACTATTCTTTGGCTTTTTGGGTGGGTGGGTGTCCTGGGGTTTGTATCACAGCTACCTTTTTTTTTCTTTTTTTTTCATAATTTTATTAAGAAACAAATAGCAATGAGACAGTTTCAAATCAAATTGGTAGGACAGTTTCAATACTAACACATTGCATACATTCTTCCTAGTGGTTAATTGCTGTACAAGATGCAGACTTGATCCTATTCACAAACACCATTAGAACAAATTCCTCTATTCATTAAGAGAATGTAACTATATTATCTATCCTAACCACATTGAATATACCGATACAAAATGGACATTCATCTGTATCCCCTTTTTTTGTTAAGTTCCATTATTTGAATATTATAGGTGTGTAAACTCAGCAAAATATTCTAAAAGAGTCCAGTAGCCCATAATAGTCAGGCTCAGGTTGCTGTGGTTGGAGTCACACATTTTTGATTCATACTTTCACACTGGCTCAAGGGAAAATAAACCAGAAAATAAACAGGCACTTGAATCTGTACACTGGAAACAGGCTAAAGGAATTTCCTCCTAACACAGATCTCACTTATAAATCTATGTATGAACATATACTTTATGGAAAGTATGTAATAAAATATGTAAGTTAAGAAAATTCACAACTAGACATTTGTGACAATAGTACATGTCCTAGAATACAGTGTTAAGGCTGTGAAGGAAACTCCAAAACTTACCAGGGCTCTTTTCACTTTGCTTTATTATAGCTGCCATGATACATGAAGGGGGTATTTTTGGGGTTGTTCATAGAAAATGAGACCCTCCCCAATTGAGATTTCAGAGGTATACGGAAGGGTCACATGAGTGGCCTTCTGTATGCAAATCAAAGTGATTATTACAAATGAAGAGTAGAAAGACATTTAAAACTGAAATAATATATGTGGAACACCTGCATCTTCCATTATATCTCTCAGGACACTTTAAGGAACATTTCTTCTTCTTTTTTTTACATAATTTTATTGAGAAGGAACATTTCTATAATATTTCATAGAATCCTCTACATAGTATGCTAATAACTGAGGCAAATTACATCTTCAACAGGAACCTTAATTCTCTAAAGACACAGAAGTTGGTACAGAGACCAGCACCTGTGAAGGGGTGTAGCTGAAGCATCCAGTACCCACCCTTGATGCCATTTCTCACCCAATGCCATGTGGACTTAGCACTCAGGGGTGACTGCTATTACAGCTTGCGTATTCCTTTATAATATGTTTGGGACCAGAACTGCTTCTGATTTTCCGGGCTTTTTTTTTTTTTTTCAGGATTTGCAATATTGGTACACACATAAGGAAATATCTTGGGAACAGACCCCAAATCTAAACAACAAATTCGTTTGTGTTTTATTTATATTCTGTACCCACGTTCACAAAGTAATTATATATAGCGTTTTTACTGCACAGGTGTTTAAGTGCAATCCATCATAACTACTCAGGTGTAGAATTTTCTACCTGTAGCATAATGTGAGTGCTCAAGTAGTTTCAGATTTTGGAGCATTTCAGACTAGGGATGCTCAACCTGTATCTTCTCAACATTCAAATCTAATAACACTGACTAATAGCTCTGTCTTTCAGATTCTTCCACTCCTGATCCACACTCCACAATGCTACTAAAGTCATCTTCAAACTCAAAATTGGCTCCCACACTGCTTTTATTTAAAATTTCAAGTGATTCCCTATTCCCTTAGGATGAAGTCCAGATTCCCAAACATGGTACACAAAATATTTTAAAATTTGCCCCCATCCCAGCCTAACCACTTGCCTATCACCAAATGTATTATGTGTCTTTCCTTTTTCTTTCTTCATAAAATAGAATGGTATGGCTTAGATGAATCGATCTTTCTCAGCTTCAGCTATGTGAAATAATGATGCAACATGCTTACTTTGAAACCTCAAAATCTGGGTAAAGTATTTTGAGAAACAAAGTGACGTACAAATGTAATTCATATCAGTTCCAACACATGTCTCCTAACCTTGTTACAGTAAGAGAACTTACGGGTAATCTCCAAGTAAAAAAATTAGTTACTGAAGTAGGAAAAAGCAATTTACGTTTACATGCTAGAAGAAAACTCTTAACAATTGATCATATCATGTTTTCTGTTGCTAAACTAATTTAAAAAAATTAATTTGGCCAAGCCCAGTTTATAATTTTCATAAAACTGAATTTCCAAGGCAGCATTCTTGTGGCTGGTGTCATAAAATACAAACAAAACAGTAAACATTAGACATATGAAAATTTAAGGATTCTGCATCATTCCTAAAAACAGTAATTAAAACAGAAGTCACTGAGGTTAAAAGAAAAAAATATATTAACAACAACAAAAAACTAATTATGTAATTGTGACACCTAGAAAAGCAAATTTTGACTCAAAAGGATTATTTCAGTTATTATGGCTTTCTAAATAATAGACAACACTGTCGCTCCAAACAAGAAAAGAGTTACTATTTACTTAAAGTGACAATCTGTCCTGGAGAGCTCTGCACAGTGCATGACACAGGACAGTGCTGACCTCACAGCTGCTGAGAAGAGGCACTGACCATTCAGCAGCAGACACAAGCCTCACAGCCCCAACCTGGTGCCTTACCTGACCGGTAGCGCTCATCTCGTGACCCTGAGGACCGTCGGCGATGGTATCGAGAAGCAGAGGAAGGAGTGACAGGAGTCCGGCGTTCTTGTGGCAAAGCTTGGTCCACCCCTGGATTTGAGGAAAAGAGCAAAATGAAGGTGAGGCTGGATCATTACCTACAGTTAGCCGATTCTGGAGAGTAAATCATTTGGTGGAATAAAGCCTGATTCAAGCCATTCCCACTGTAAACCTGAAGTTGCATGTGGGATGAAATGGGGTCCTCACAGGGTATGAGCAGAAGGTGAGCAGCATCCTAGTCTGGGGCAGAGGATTTCTCCCCATGTGGGAAGACTACTTCTGCCTGGCCACTGCAGCCTTTAGAAATAGCAGCACACACACCTGGTCACGAACATCCATTACATCACAGGACAAACAGTGAAGCCTGCACACAGAGTCAACACCTGACTTTTCTGTACAGTAAATATGCCGGGTATGAACTCAGAACTTTTAAACTTGCCAGGCGTGGTGCCATAAATCTATAATCTCAGCAGTTGGGAGGCTGAGGCAGCAGGACTGCCATAAGTTGGAGGCCTGCCTAGATACACCTAGTGAGTTTAAGACCAGCCTGAACTATACAGCAAGACTCAGTCTCAAAAAAGATTTTTATTTTATTTATTTTTCTGTATTTTAGGGAAGAGTCTGCAGATTGTTCAGGGTCTCACTAATAGATAGCACTTGTAGTGATTCTCCTGTTTACAGCCTCCCAAGTACTGGGATTACAGGCTCGCACCACCACGCCCAGTCTCAATCCCAGTCTCAGCGTGCCCCTGGGGTGGGGCCAGCACAGCAGGCCCAGGGATCAAACCCCTGGCCCCTGTGCCTGCTTGCAGGTGCCTTAATTCGCTGCGCTAAAGATTTTTAAACTATGTTTATCAGAAAAGTTAATGTTAAAATAAATCTTAAGAGTATTTTAGCAATATAATTCAGGTAACAAGGCAGTGATCTGTACATAACAACTTTCAGCTTTGCTCATTCCAAATCACTAACTCTCTGGAAATTTACATTGTTTGATGCTATGTACTTTAAGAAATATGTATCTGAGGAGTTTTGATGATTTCTCAAAAATCATCCTATCTTAGACAGTAAAATGATTCAAAGATTATTGGCTAAAAAGCTGACCCAAATCTGCCAATCATGATACCTACCATATTGAGATAACAAAGTAGAACAGGATACAATCGAGATAAAACTAAGCACCCTGGGAAAGATTTTATCATTACAGTTGAGAAATAAATCATTTCCACTGAGCATTACTTATTGTTATTTCTTTAGAAAAGGACCAGTTAACACTTGAAAAGAAGTCAGACATGAAAAAATTAAATGAACAAATCTTAGTCCCTCATTTTCTATGACAGGCTTCTGTGAAAGTTAATTGTGTGTTCTGTAGGCTCCCAATTCCTCTTATTTTAGTTTCTGCATGTGTAATGGTAGCATGTGTGTGGATCTCTCATGAGGCTCCGTAGCTTAGAACTGTGACAAGAGATTCTGTAGCTGTTTTGTTAGGCTTCATAAACAGCCTCTTGATCTAGAAAATATACTAAAATGCTCCAATTGTCAGTGACCAGACCTCTTCCAATTACTTTCTACAAATGATCTTTTCAAAATGATCTTTTCAAAAATTCCCTTTCATTTTTATCCAACTGATATAGACTTTTTGAAGCTTAACAGGTCTATATAAAACATCGTAGGTCCTGGTATTTTATGTTCACACTCATGAATCTAGGCAGACAACACACGGACTGCTTGACACCACCCATATTCGCCATAACTGCTGTTATCAGGCCTATGCCCAGCCTGAAAATCAGAGTCGGCAGCAAGCTCTAACACCTTCTTGTCTTTTGCTTTGTGATGATTCTGGAGTTAAAATTTATAGCTTTTTGTTTCTTTTGGTTTCCAACATGTTGGTTTCTGGTCCTTGCAAAATACTCCAAAGGGGGGAAAATCCCTTTCTCTTTCCTGTCTTTTTTTCATGTAAAAAATGACAACTTAGTGATATTTTTGTTCTGCTTTTGTTTTCACTAAATTTCTCCTGAACCCTCTTGTACTTTAAGCTTGGTCCCTAGCCTTGCTGGTTCACTATCAGGCAGGATTCGCCTCATCCTGAGTTTGGTTTTGCTCTTTATTGTGGAGGACCCCTTGTTTCTCTTTTCTTTTTTTTTTTTTTTTTTCTTCACCTCCCATCTCTTACAGATTGTGTCTTAGATGTCCCTGCAAAGCCTCACACAGTAGCGGGTGGGCTTCTAGAGTTTATGGTTGACTCACTGTCCAGTGCTGGGCTTATGGGTGTGTTACACCTACCCTGGGATGTGTAATTTGCATACAGTATAAGAGATGGAGAGGGGTTCCATCCCCAGTGTGTGGTGCCGGCCCCGCCCCTGGAGAACACAGAGACTGTGATAGAGGCTGGGTGTGCTGGCACACACTTATAATCCCAGTGCTTGGGAGGCTGAAAACAGGAGGATCACTGAGTCCAATCTGTGTAGTGAGACCCTGTACTAATACATTAAAAATGAAAGAGGGAGAAGCTTGCTCTCTATCACTACTCCTCCTTTTTTTGCTCTTGCTGCTTTTGTTCTTTTTCTCCATCATGAACTGCTGCCCTCTTCCATGTGTCACTCTGGCTTGGAACCAGCTGAGTATGGTCTGAAATCTCCTTGAATGCTGAGCTAAATAAATCTTTCCCTCCTTAATTTTGGGTATCAGATATTTTGCATCAGCAAGGAAAAGTTACCAGGACAACTTGGTACTACAGGAGTGGGCTTGTTGTTGTGATATACCTGACCATGTAATTCAAGAGCCTTTGAGGGCTGGCCAGATTGCTCAGTAGACTAAAGCACCTGCTTAGGCAGAGCACAGCAGCCAGCATTCAGTTCCTGGCTTGCCCTGCCAGCCCTGCCCCATGGGCTTGCTGAGATTGTGATTGAGACTGGGCATGGTGGTACATACCTACAATCCCAGTGCTTGGGAGTCTGAAAACAGGAGAATCACTAAGAGTCCGATCTATATAATGAGACCCTGTACTAAATATATTGAATACAAAACAAAACAAAAAACAAAAAAACTAGCCTTTGAAATTCGTTTGTGGGAAAAGTTGGGATTGGTTCTGAGATGTAGCCTGAAAGAATAGCACCAGAACACCCAAGGCTGTTCTGTCTGGGAGATTCTGGTCAAAAATCAGAAGACCAGAAGGCTAATAGAAATCCTGTCAGTAAAGACCAGGCTTGGAAAGGACTTCATTGGTTGTTGGACTCCAGGTAAGTTGTGTTATGGCTTGGCAAAACATTTGTCTACATATTGCTCATATCCAGAGACTTTGCCTGAGACTGAGATTAAGGGCAGTGGACTGATCAATCTGGCAAAGGAAATTTCAGGACAGTCTAATATACAGGCAGTGGCATGGCTATTGTTAAGGCCTTTAGCCAGATTTATGTCAAAAATCAAGAGCAAAGAGCCCAGCAGGACAATTTAAAAGTGTGAATTTGGCCAGAAAGGAAGCTTCAATAAAGCTGTGGACTGCAAAGAGAGAGCTGAGAAGATCTCAATTGCTGAGAAGAAACAGGAGAATATAAAGGCTGGCCTGAGAGCACCACAAGAAGCAACAGGACTCCACCTTGTGCAGCCTCAAAACTGCAAAACTGAAAGACTTTCCTTGGAGGAGAAAGCCACAGTGACAAGTTCCAGAATGGCAACAGCCACATCAGATTACAGAATGGCAGCAGCACTGAGAATTTGTTTCTCACAATCAGATTCAGTGTCCAGCGATCCAGGCACTCAACCCCTACAGTGAAGAAAGCAAGCCTAGCTACTACTCCAGCTGGCAGTAAACACTGCACAGCACTGGTTTTAGGTGCATGCAGAATGCAAGAGTTCTGAGGTTAAGAAGGCTTCCACCCAGATTTCAGAAGGCAGTTCAGGAAGCAAGGCAGCACGCCTCTGAGAGGGCAGTGTGTGAAGCTGTGAGTATGAGGCCAAAGGTGAAGCACTAGGGACCACAGAAGTTTGAAAAAGCCAGGAATGAAGATTTTCTAAGAAACACTGCAAGGAGGAAGCCAAGCAGGCCTAAATGAGAAGCAATGGGAGGTACAACCACCAGAAGTGCCCACAGGAACACACCACACAAGGCCTTTGGAGCCTACAGCTTATTGTGGATTGCACATGGAATTCCAGAACTTAGTGCTGGATTGTGGACTTTCTTTGGTCCCAATGCTTCATATGCTGCTGTTTGTACCTTTTGGAATGGTAATGTTTATCCTGTGCCATTGTATGTTAGAAGTGTTTAACTTTTCATTTATACAGGGGCTCACAGCTAAGAGTCTGCCTTACACCTTCGAGGTGACTGGGATTTGGACTTCTGAGAAATGCAGAAACTGTTAGGACTTCCAGCAATTCTTAGAGATGGCTAAAATGTCTTTCACATAAAGGAAGGTAAATGAGTCTTTTGGGAGCCAGGGGTGGAATGCTATGGTTTATTTCTACATGTCCCCTCAAATACCCATGCAGTCATGGGAACAGGCTTCTAGAGGTGTATGACACACTCACTGTCCAATGCTGGGATTATAGGTGTGAGTGTTACACCCACCCAGGGGCAGGTAGCTTGCACATAATATAAAGGCCTGCTATCTATGGCTGCTCCTCTCTTTTTTGCTCTTGCTGCTTCTGCTGCTTTCTGTGCCCATGAATCACTGCCCTCTGCCAGGTGTCATTCTGCCTTGGAGCCAGCCGAGTACAGACAAAAACCTCCACAAATTGTGAGCAAAAAAAAAGTTTCCTTCTTTAATTTTGGGCATTGAGTATTTTGTCTCAGCAATGAAAGAAAAATAACCAAGACCCCATCTTAGAGAGCAGCTTATTTAGAAAGGATAAAAGAATATTTGGAGTAGTACATTTGCTTCAATATGAAATCTAGGTAGATTATTTTTATTCATTTTTTCACATTTCCATTTTTGTTGAAAACTTATATGCTGCTTTGAGGGCATAATCTTTATGTAAAGTCTCATTTTCTCCTGTGTCGATTTTTACTACCCTTTGAATTACAGTGAAAGGATACCACTTAATTACAGGATGTCATA